AAAAGATGAAGATGAAGCAGAAGTAGTGTAGTTGACAAATGTACCCTACAGAGAGGCAATTGGAAGCCTTCTCTACCTGGAGAGTGCAACAAAACCACACATAGCGTACACGGTCAACTATTTGTCGAGGAAACAACTGCAACCAACAATGGATGACTGGAAAGAAGTAAAAAGGATTTACAGATATTTCAGAAGAACAACTGCCTTGGGTTTAACCTATAGAGGACAAAAAAGGGACCTTTTTGCAATGACTGACACGAGCTTCAGAGATCTAGATGATTCTGCTACGACTGGCGGGTACGTCATAAAATTGTTTGGCGATCCTGTTATGTGGAGGAGTCACAAACAGTCATATGTGACTCTCTCGACATGTCATGCAGAGTATCTAGCCATGAGTGATGCCTGTCAAGAGCTGGTGTCTCTGGATAAGGCGATTAGAAGTATAACGGGAACGTCTATGTATCCTGTGACTATCTGGTGTGATAATTTGGCAGCTGTTAAGAGCACTCAGATGGATGGATGTCATAGACTCAAAAACTTTGATGATGACCTTCAGACGATCCAGAAACAATTGAAACAGAGAGAGATTACTGGCAAAAAGTGTCACATGGCAAGTACACATGGTGACTATGTGAAAGCATGTGTGCTGGAGAATAAAGTAAATGTTAGATGGATTTCCACTTCAAAGAATAAGGCAGATATCATGACAAAACCTTTGTCCTCAGAAAAACACATCTACTTCAGAAGATAATTACTAAACAGTAATCTTTGATCAGAAAACTCAGAGATTTAAATATTTTATTTTAATGTGATTTTAGATACGTCAAACCAAGGAGACAGTGATATGGAGATCACTAGCTCCAAATCAGAGTCGGAGTAATCTTCAGACGTGTGAAACTTCAGAGACGATTCTTCAGGGCGATCAACCCAAAGGAAGGGAGTGTTAAAAAAAGGTGCTTTGTGCTGCCGCCTGACGCCTCTCGTGTGTAACACACTATACAGCTCGTCACAGCTGTTCAAGACTACTCACTTCTGCCCGAGCACTTGTACAGCGAGCATTGTCCTTCCGGCAACACATACTGCCCGTGGCAACTCTTAATAAATAAAGTTTTACGTGTTCACTTACTACAAGAAGAGCATTTTTGTCTGCAACGTGTCCCTCACCCTTCCACCACCTGCAATAAGGCTTAAGTCCAACATAAATTCATGCGCTTATGTGTTTTAAATATCAATTATAGAGGAAGTGGCGAATTGAAGCCCTACCTCGTTATAAAAATATGTTTTTTTTTGTTACTAAAAAACTGTGGTTTTATTAATTTTGAAAATTTAAGCTTAACTCAGAGAATGCAAGCTATTAGCAATATTAAAAGTACCTATAAACATTTAATTATTGATAGTAATTATCAAAATTTACTTAAGTAGAAAATATTATTTATAATCCAGCTTGAAAATTGTGCAATGTTAAGTTTATAAATCATTAATCAATTTTATTAGTTTTTTTACTTAGATTAAAAAAAAATAATTTTTTTTATAATGAGATGCCTCTAATTGTTAAAAACTAAATTTTACTCAAATTCCTTGTTGAGCTTAATTTTAAACATTTATATTTTTGCCACCATGTTGTAACACCTTCAATTGTAAAGATATTTTCGATTTGTAGCTTTAAAAGTTAATACTTATTAGTAACCCACAAAAAAATTATGATACTGACATCGTACACATGACTAATTAACGCTAAATACCAATAGTAAGGCATATTTTAGATATCAGTTGTCAATGTGTTAACTTCAGAAAACTGGTATCAAAAAGACGCTTTACTGATTTACTTTGGCTTTAATTTGTCGTCTGTACAATGTTTTCCAACCTCAATGTTTTCTGGACATATACAAAATAATAATAAAGCAAACATACCCAAAAGACTTATTTATTCAGGCGATTAACAAAAACCTAAATTAAACAAAATATTGCTCGATAGTTTTAATTCATAGAATATTTACAATAGGCTAAAGAATGTTATTTGTTTACACCGGACCTGCTTTCTATAAACGTCAATCTATAATAGCACTATAGTTAGTTTTGCCTTTCCACAATAATAATAAGTATACTATATTAACCTTGACTAATTTTTGAGGTTTTTATTTTTTTTTAATCGATGGTATTATTTTTTCAAGCTATATTTTATTTGTTAAATTATTTTTAATTTTGTACAAATGCGAAATAGTTTTACAAAAGCTCCTCAAATATTTACTGAGTAGGCAGATTATTGGGGTTGTTTTATTCGACGATATACTGTCATTCGGGCCCCCACTCCTGATCGTCTCGACGCTTCGTTACGCCGCCGCCGCTGGCATCGACGTCCGGTGTCGTGACCAGTTCAGTTCATCTCCTGATACACAGGTTCACGCATCAGCTGGCCAGCTACACGCCTCTGCCAGCCAAGCCACACCGTCAGCAGCCAGCAAACCGCTCGAGACAGCTAGGCCACCAACAATATCAGCGGAGCACAGCACGCAGAAAAGTGCGCTATTCATTGTCGCCGGGTCCGCCTCCCCTGTATTTAATAAATAAAGGTTTCTCAAACATTGGTCCTTCGAGCCAGATTCAGCAACGAGGAGAGGAAAGCTGGCACAATGTAAGTACGCATTAAGTCCTGCGTCCTGTGTTAATGCGCGTGTTTGCACGTCCACGCGCGTTAATTGATGTAGCCGGAGGTCATGGCCGCCACGCTGCCCATGATACGGATTGCGTGGTGGCCATGGTTCTCGTTCGTCAGCCACCGTGGCCGCGATGTCACAGGCATCGCCGACTGGTGCTCGCGAGTGCACGAGCGCTTGGGACCGCCATGTTGGCTGCTCGCTGTGTGAGCGTTAGCCACCGCCACCACAACGGACCGCAACGGCCGCCATAATGCTCGTGTCGCAGGTTTGAGGTTTGGCTGCTCGCCGTGCGAGCGTTACCCCCCGCGGCCGTCATGTTGCCCGCATCGCATGACTGCTGCTCACTCGAGACCACCACGCTTGCCGTGAGGCCCGTGTCGTGGATTTTATGCAGCTAACTGAGCGTCTGACGCCTTGCTGCCTCGCTCGCAGAGTAGTCATCCTTTCCGAGCGCCTGGCACCGTGTCGCCTCGCTTACGAAACAGTTGGCTCAGCAGAGTGACTTATAACTGATCAAGAAGCGTCCACCTCGAGTTCCGTTGATGATTCAACGTCGAACTCATTATATTCATGATTTTCAGGGCAAACGGACAAGGGTCAGCCCTGTTTGCCACCAAACAACGGCTTAGCGACGTCATCGCTCGGTTCACGGCCGCTGTAAAGGCTACCGAGACAAGCCACTGGATTCCAGGCCTCGTCACGGCTCGGCTTGAGCTCTTGGACTTCTACAGGAATGACTTCAAGGTCAACCATGTGGATCTGTTGGTCGCAGAAACCACCGAACACGGCGACGCCGCGGACAACATATATGCCGCCGCAGAGGCCAACTTCGTCGATGCCCGGTCACACCTGTATGACGCTCGGCTCGAACTAGCCCCGCCCGGGGCCCATGGAGAAACCCGCCCAGTTGGAGAACCAGCACCACATCGAGGGCCCAAGTTGCCTACGATCACCATCCCGCCCTTCTTGGGACGACGAGAGGACTTATGTATGACATCAAATGCTTAATGTCATTTGTCTGCGTGTATGTGTGTCAAAAGTGTTTTCAGCCAAGTGCTCCACGCGTGTGCTGTGAGTGAAAAGCGCATGCGCCGCGCTAGAAAGAGACGGTATGATTGAGCTCCATGCTCTCCCTGGCTTAACATCGCTCTGCCAAGTCAATCTGCAACTGCTCTGCATCACAAAAGGGAGTAAGAGCCAGTCAGGCTGCACTGCGTCTCTTCTCCCTCCTATGTAAGAAAGTCAATGTATGCAAGTGTTCAGTTCTGAACAAGAATTAAAGCTGATTCAATAAGAGGAAGTCGCCTTTTTATTTACCCACGTACACTACAATTCCCAAAAGTTCTTGTCAACTCCTTCGGCCACGCGATCTGGCGCAACAACAGTGCAGGATTACTGCCTCCCGGGCACCATCCTGTACAACTGGGAATCCTTCAGGGACCTGTTCCGAGCCCTCATACACGACGACAAGCAGCTAATGGACGTTAAGAGACTCTATTATTTAAAGTAACTCACTTAAGGCGATTCCAAGGCCGTCTTGGACTCCGTGCAGATCGTTGGGTCCAACTAACCGACAGCCTGGAGTCTACTCGAGGCCCGCTATGAGCATCGGTGGCTCCTCCTGCAGGACAACGTTGCGGCGCTCCGCAATATTAAGCCTCTGTGGGACGAGTCAGCCGGAGGTCTCTAAACGCTGTTGGACACGCTTGAACGTCATCACGATCAGCTTAGTGCTCTCGGCCGCCCTGTCGCCTCCTGGGATGAATGGTTCATCGCGTTTGCAGCAACGGGCATGGACGCCACCGCAAGACGTGCTTGGGAAGACGAGCAGGAGAAGCTGGAGATTTTCAGCAACGTGCCCAGTGACTCCTGAGCCACCTTTACCATGCTGGCTGCGTTTCAGTGGCGCAGATGCCGCACTCTCAGCTCCGTAGAGGCTTCTTATCTAGCGCGCTCAGCTGGCTTCACCAGCTCACGAGGGCCCTCCTCGACGCACGCAGGGCGCAATTTCCGCTCCCTAACGACCCAGGAGGCCCCAGCGAACTGCCCGGCTTGTCACGAACCCCACTATCTCGGGCATTGCGGTCAGTTCCGGGATCTGAATCCAGCCGCCAAGATGCACATCGTATTCCAGGAGAAGTTATGCTTTAACTGCCTGAAGCCAGGGCACTCCTTGCATAACTGCCCCTCCAAGTCAGTCTGCCAGCGCTGCCGGGCGGCGCACCACAGTCTGCTGCACAACAGCCACAAGCGCTGGTCCGAAGCTCCAGGATCTTCGGACCCACCCAAGCATGCGAAGCCGACCAGCTCCGATCTTCTCAAGACTCCTGATGAGTCCCGGCAATGACTCGCAGTGCTTCCGACCTTCCGACTGCGCTCGTCCAACTCAGTGGTGGCCGGGGGCCCATCGTCACCGTGAGAGCACTCCTCGACCCATGCTCTGAGATCTCGGCCATCGCTCTCAAGCTCGCTTGCCGCTTAAAGGCCCCTTTGGAGGATTCTAGAACCAGCGTATCAGGCATCGGCGGCGAACACGCCGTAAGGTCGACACTCCGCGCCAGCCTGTGCCTGATGCCAGGGGATGGCACCTCCAGTTTGCATCTGAAGGCGCTGTGCATACCCTATCTCGGTCTTTCAACACCTGTGGCCCCACTTGACCTCAGCATCCTGCGAGTCTGGGCCAGCCTGCAGGACCTCGCCGACCCCGACTTTGGCCTTCCTCGTGCGGTCGATATTCTCATCGGCGCCGAGGTCTACAGCCGTCTGCTGCGCCCTGGGTACCGTCAGCCCAGAGATATCGTCGGTCAGCATACAGCACTCGGCTGGACTCTAGTCCGGTGTACTCCTGGGCACCCCTTGGACAGCGCCATCCCATGTCCGACATTGCACGATGAGCTGGCTCCTCCCTGGCATCGCGAGCTCATCATGCTACTCCAGCGCTTTTGGGAACTAGAAAAGGTGCCCTCCGTCTGCCACCGCGCGCCCGATGACATCGACTGCGAGCGGATTTTCGCCAACTACCGGCGTGACGCGGACGGCCGTTATATCGTGTGTTTGCCTATGAAGCCCAATGATACACCGCTCCTCGACGATAGCCTGGCTAGCGCCCTGGCCTCACTGCGATCTCTACACCGTCGCCTCCAGTGGGATTCAAAGATGGTGACCGAGTATAACCACTTCATGAGCGAGTACCTCGCCCTCGGTCATATGAAGCGGCTCTCCAGCCGAGAGCTCTCCGCACCGAGCAGCACGGTCTGCTACGTCCCACACCACGGCATCTGGCAACACGGAGACCTTGGACCAAAGTTGCGCGTCGTGTTTAACGCCTCGCACCCAACCTCGAGCGGCTACAGCCTAAACTACATCCTGCACTTCGGGCCAAGACTCCAGGCCGCACTACCGACAGTCCTGCTGCGATGGCAAAGACATAGCGTCGCCTTATGCAGCATTGTCCAGATGATGTTCCGCGAAATCTGGGTTGACCCACGAGATGCAGACCTTCAGCGCATCGTCTGGAGCCCCGATCCAAGTCAGCCGCCTGTACACTATCAACTGCGCGCCGTCACTTATGGCGTGACTTACTCGCCCTACTTGTCACTGCGTGTGATTTAACAACTCTGCCATGACGAAGGACACTTGTGGCCGGACGCCGTACCTGTCGTCATGAATGATCGGTACGCGGATGACATCCTCTCAGGTGCCGATGACCTCGAAACGGCCCGCTAGCTTCGGGATCAAGTCATCGGCCTGCTGCGCTCCGGCAGATTTCCTCTCCAGAAATGGGTCGCTAATGACGCCGAACTTCTGGCTGACCTCACCCAGGATGCTCGCCTGCACCCTACGTGGCGTAAACTCAGCGACGCCGGCCTCGTCAGCGAGCTTGGCGTCAGCTGGGACCCAGCCTCGGATACTTTCCGGCTCACACCTCCGGCAGCCCGAGAACAGGACATTAAGCGGAGCATCCTTGCTGGTCTCGTGAGCCTCTTCGATCCTTGCGGTTCGCTCGCCCCGACCATACCCCAAGCCAAGCTCCTTGTGCAGGATCTCTGGCGCGCCCGGTTAGGTTGGAAGGAGGTCGTACCTGCATCAATGGCTCGTTGGTGGTCAGCTTTCACCACTGAGCTGAAATCAATCCAAGGCTTCTCCATTCCACGTTGGATTGGATCTTCGGCTTCGTCGAAAATTCACCTCCACGCCTTTTCAGACACCAGCCAACGCGCGATGGGCGCGGTGGTATACTCCCAGCTGCAGGACTCCTCAGGGCAAGTCTGCTGCCACATTCTGCTGGCCAAGACGAAACTTGCGCCCATCCGAAGCCTCAAGCCATCAGCCACGCCCCAGGCCCGCATGACAATCCCTCGCCTTGAGCTGCGTGCCACGTTGCTTGCTGCGAAACTGCTGCGCTTGGTCGTCAGCAAGTGGAACATCTCTATTGAGCACTGCTACGCTTGGTGCGACTTTCAAGTCGTTCTACGCTGGCTCCGCTCCACCGAGCCGACCAACCACGCTCTCGTCGACAACTACGTCACCCACATCCAGGAGGTACTGCCACCGCACATCTAGCGCTATGTGCATACTCATGACAATCCTGCCGATGTGGCGTCTCGAGGCACCGATGCCCAGACTCTACACCACCAGCAGACATGGTGGACTTGTCTTTCCTGGCTGTCCGAAGGCCCTGATCGTTGGCTCCAGGAGCCCTCCGAGCCGCCACAGCCCTTACTTCCTTGCCTCTGCTGCGTCACGCAAAAGGTCGAGTTCGACCTTCTCCGACTGTTCTCCGATCTGGGCGTCCTCCTGCGCACCCTCACCCACCTGCGTCGATGGGCGAGACTGCATCTTGGCTGAGCCCCTACACGACCGATGCTCTTAGCACCGACGGCTACCGAGTTGACCGATGCCTACCTCGCTTGCGTGCGCTTGATTCAGTAATGTGCCTTCTCTGATGAACTGGCACTGCTTCGCACGGGCCACGCCCTTCTCAAGTGGCTCCGACTGACATCGCTCACAGCCTTCATCCATACAGACGTCGTTCTGCGTGTGGGCGGTCGCCTCCAGCACGTCGAGATGACCTTCGCGGAGCGGCACCCACCCATCCTTGACGGCGCTTGCCCTCTCGCCACGCTTACGATCACGTGGGCCCATCACCGAGCGCTCCACGGGGGCTTTCGCAATACCAGCGCGTATGCCGTCAAGCGTGCTTGGATCATCGGTGGCTTCCGGAAAGTCACGGCTTTCCTACGCAGTTGCGTTACTTGTGCTCGCCTCCAAGCCCGATCAGCTGTCCAGTTGATGGCTCCTCTTCCGCAATCACGAGTTACTTCCTTCCACGCCTTTAGTCGCCTTGGGATCGATTACGCCGGGCTGTTCCACGTGCTCGCAGCTAAGGGCCGAGGCGTTCGCACCACGAAGGGTTACATTGCCATATTTGTCTGTCTCACCACGAAGGCACTACATCTGGAGCTCGTAGGCAATCTATCAACCGTCTCCTTTTTTGCGGCTCTCACCCGCTTCTCTGGTGGCCGGGAAAAACCGTCTGAACCGTCGGAACGACAACGCAACGTGCTTGTATCGAGCTGACACCGAGTTGCGCGACGCACTCCATCTTGCTGAGCACTGGTGGGACCTTGTCGCAAGTGCCCTAGCAGATCAAGGTATCGAGTGGCATTTTATTCCACTCGGAGCCCCTCACTTTGGAGGTCTCTGGGAGGCCGCGGTCAAGTCCGTCAAAGGTCATCTCCGACGAGTCATGGGCTCGCGGCACCTGACGTACGAGGAGTTCTCAACCGTCTTGATCGGGATCAAAGCTGTCCTCAACAACCGACCCCTCACTCCACTGTCGGGCGACACGGACGACCTGGGCATGCTGACCCCCGGTCACTTCCTCATCGGATCACCCCTCAATTTAATTATTGAGGCCGCGCCACCTGATGAGGATCTCCACCATCTGGCTTACTGGGAGCTTTTCCGTGGCATTAAAGCACAATTCTGGGCCCGATAGAGTCGGGAGTATCTTAATACTCTTTAAGAGCGATCGAAGTGGATCACCCTTCATCGGAACCTGACCTTGGGTGATATCGTCGCCGTCCTTGACTCATCTCAGCTCTTAACCAACGGCCGCTGGCCTCTCGGCCGCATAACTGGCGTTCACCCTGGCCCAGACGGCCTCGTCCACTCTGTGACCGTCCGAACGGCGACGGGAGAATACACCAGGCCAATCACGAAAGTCACGCTGCTTCCGATGATAACCCAGACCGCCTCTCAGCCTGCATCGCCCAGAAGCGAAACCACTCTCGATACGGCGGGTTGGACTTAAAGTTTCGTTCCTGAAACGAAGCTGGTGAGATGTTTCGTTCAACGATATACTGTCGGTCGGGCCTTCCTCCTGATCGTCTCAGCGCTTCGTTACGCCGCCGCCGCTGGCATCGACGTCCGGTGCCGGGACCAGTTCAGTTCGTCTCCTGATACACAGGTTCACGCATCAGCTGGCCAGCTACACGCCTCTGCCAGCCAAGCCACACCGTCAGCAGCCAGCAAGCCGCTCGAGACAGCTAGGCCACCACCAATATTAGCGGAACATAGCACGCAGAAAAAAGCGCTATTCATTGTCGCCGGGTCCGCCTCCCCTGTATTAAATAAATAAGGGTTTCTCAAACAGAGGTGTTATATCAAACCAACAAAAAAAAGGATTATTTGTAAGCAAGCATAAAATATATTTCCTTGTTTATAAAATTGTTGTTAAAGTCTGTGGTTCTTTACATGTTTGATGCTAGTAATGCAAAACTTGTAAGCCTTTGTGAGCATTGCTTATCTCAATGTCTAGATAAATAAAGTGTTACTTTTTATCAACTTTTGGAATAAAACAGGTAAAGAATAAGAACTGCTTTTAATAGTTTATTTTTGGAGGAAGTAGGGTTTTAAAATAAATTAAAAATTTATAATTATAGTCTCGTATCGAAAGGAAATTCAACGTTTTGACTGAATTTAGCCATGTGACATAACCAGTCCTTTTAACATTATATACAAATTTATCATATTCGTCTGTATGGTAACAAATTACTTTTACAAATAGATTATGCTACATCTTAACTGTTGTACAAAAAACATGGTTACTAATAACTTAGATGATAATAACTAACTGAAAAAAGTTTCAATCGAAAGGGAGTTTATAGTTTTTCGTAGTAAAATTTCCCTAACTACAGTTATAATATACTAAGAGTTAATGTCATGAATTATTAAAACCTTAAAACGCCTGTAACTCCGTAAATAATTTCTTTAAGACTGCACATTAATATTTTCATCGAATTTTATTTTATGCTCAGTACTGAAGCATAAAACATTATCAAACTATATAACATCCCATGCGCCTACAGACAAAACTAAGCCAGTTCATCAGAAAACTGATAAAAGAAAGTCTCAACCACATTAGTGTTAGTTGTCAAATGTCATTGGTCTAAAAAATATATGAAAATTAGTTTAATGTAACAGTAGGTCAAAATTGGCTTTCCTCATTTTATACATAAATCTATCATACGACTTTAGCCAGTTTTGCATTTTCATGTGATAAATGTGTACTTGCAAGACTATCTTCGTTCAAACCTTTTTCATTTTCTGCAGTTGTTTATTTTGTCAAAACTATTCTTATGTTCTTAATGCAAAATATATTTTTAGGTAAGTGTTTGATATCTTTTAAGGTCTTTAATTAGGTCTTTAAAAAAATTTTGAATTTAGCAAGATACGTGCAGTACCTATATTTTTCAATCTACAGATATATAAGTCAATTTTTTTTTGAAAATTAGTTATTAAAAAAGTTTATGTGTCCTAGAAATATATGAAAAACAGCATAATTATAAAGTAGGTTACAACTAGCTATTCGTACATTATACTCTAATCTAATATATGACACTAGCTGGTTTTGCATATCTATGTAAGTAATAAGTATTTGCAATACTATCCTTGAAAAAACATTTTTTATTCTCTGCAGTAATTTTAATTTGCAAAGACCAATTTTTCTATCTTATTGCCAAATGTATTTTTGGGTTGGTATTTAATTTCTTTTGAGGTCTCCAATTAGGTCTCTAAAAAAATCTTGCATCTAACAAAAGAACGTGCAGTGCCTCAATTTTTAATAATTAAATTTATACGCTTATAATTTTTTAAATGAATGCTAAAAGAAATTTATCTGTCCTATTAATACATGGAAATAAGCCTCATTTTGCAGTATGTCAAAACCGGCTTTTCTTACATTATACATAAGTCTATCATATGACGTTAGCCGGTTTGTCATTTTTATGTAATTAATAAGTACCTGCAATTTTATCTCTAAAAAAAAAATTTTTATGATCTGCAGTACTTTTATTTTGCAAAGACTATTTTTTTTTCTTATTGCTGCCGATTTTTTTAGGTTGGTATTTAATTAATTTCANCAAGGTCTCTTATTAGGTCTCCAAAAAAATTATGCATTTAGTAAGGTAACGTGCAGTACCGTAACCTTTTGATAATCAAATTTATGTGGTCATGTTTCTCAGTAATTAAACATAAAAAAATTTGTGAAATATAGCAATACCTCGTGAAAAAATATATATATTTTTTTTATTACTGAAGAACTATGGTCTTATTAATTTCAAAAATTGAAGCTTGACTCAGAGAATTTAAATGACTTGCACCATTTGTAGTACCCACGGACAATCAATTATCGATAGTAATCATCAAAATTCACTGATCTAGACAATATTGTTTTTAATTAAGCTTGAATACTTTATAAAGATAGTTTTATTATTTTCGAATATACTTCATTTGTTTGTACTTGAATAAAAGAAAAAAAAATGATGATAATAATAATAAAATGTCTGTAATTGTTAAAAACTAATATTATCTCAAATTGCTTGTAGAGCATGATTCTAAACATATATATTTTTACATCGTAGCATTAAAAATTAAAACTTATAAGTAACACACAAAACAATGATGATAATGACATCGTACAAATGACAAATTAACGCCAAATTCCATCAGTACAGCATCTTTAAGATATAAGTTGTCAATACGTTAACTTCAGAGAAGTGATATCTAAAAGATGCCTTACTTGAAGGAATTTGGCATTCATTTTTTATCCGTACGATGTCATTTATTATCAACGTTTTGTGGAAATGTAAAAAAATAACATAGCCAATATACACAAAAGACCTGATAATTTAAGCAATTAACAAAAATCTGTATTAGAAAAAGTATTGTTTTATAGTTTTTAATTTATATCACATTCATAATAAGCTTAACATCGTTATGTGTTAAAACTGGACATACTTTTTTTATTCGTAAATCTGAAATAGCGCTATAGTCAGTTTTGCTTTTTCACGTTAACAATAAGTACATAAAGTCAACCTTAAAGCGACTTTCGAGGTTTTGTTCTCTCATAAACGATAGTATTATTCTTGATAACTATATTTTAATTGTTTGGTTTTCGAATATATATTGATTGAACGCAAAATTGTTCACTCAACGTCCTTGAATGTTTACTCATCAGGTAGACTAATTTGGTGTTATAAAAATCAAATAGAAAAAAAATAGTATCATTTGTTAGCAACCATGAAATGGATCCACTCGCTTATGAAATTTCTATGAAAGTCTGTGATTTTGACATGTTTGATGCTAGTAATGCTTAAATTGTTAAACTTTGTAAGCATCGGTCATCTAAATGTCTGAATAATGAAAGTGTAACTTCTCATTGATTATTAAAAAAAGAGATGAGTAGAAAATTAAAACTGCAGTTAATGGCTTGTAATTTTGAAAGGTAGGGTTTGAAAATAAATTAAACAGTATTAATAATAGTCTTTAACTGAAAAAAATTTTAGTTTTTGACCGGATTTAGCGATGTGCTATAACCAGTCATTTTTAACATTAAATATAAATTTGAAATATTTTTTTGTATGGTTACTGATTATCTACACTCATAGATTATGCTACATCTTAACTGACGTACAGAAAATGTGATTACTATTAACTTAAATCTTAAGAACTCATTAGGAAAAGTTGCATTAGAAAGTGACTTAATAGTGTTAAGTGATGAAAGTCGCTTAACTACAGTAATAATATACTAAAAGTTGATTACGTCGTTGAAAGTAAAAACTTAAAAATGTCTTTCTTACACTGATAATAAAAAAAAATTTACAACTTTTCTTTTTAAAATGTTCGTTATCACAACAGCACATTAGTTTTTTTTATCAAACTTTCTTTTATTCTCAGTACTAAATTCTGAAACATTATGAAACTATATAACATCTCACGCACCTACAGACAAAACTAACCATGTGCATCAGAAATTTGCCTTAAGCTACTCTTAACCTCATTAGTGTTTATTATTAACTATCATTGGTCCAAAAAATATATAAAAATCAGCGTTGTGTTACAGTATGTCAAAATAAGCTTTTCTCAAATTACACATAATCCTATCATATAACGTTAGCCAGTTTTGCATTTTTATGGAATACTCGTGTACCTGAAATCCTTTCTTTGAAAAATTATTGTTTATTCTCTGCAGTTATTTTATTTTGTCAGGACTAATTTTTTTCCCTCATTGCCAACGATATTTTTAAGTTGGTATTTAATTTTTTTTTTAATCTCTAATTAGGTCTTAAAAATAATTTTTCGTTTAGCATAGTTACATGCAGTACCCTAGTTTTTAATTATTATATTTATAGGTGTATGATTCTTGAAAATTAATTGTAAAAGAAGTTCATTCCTTTTAGAAATGAATGAAAATCAGCCTTATTTCGCTGTAGGTGAAAACCGGTTTTTCTGACATTATGCATAAATCTATCATATTATAATGTTTGTGTTATCAAACATAAACAAAATTTATTAGTTCGTACTTACAAAAAAAAATTAATAGCGAAACAGTAATTATAATAATAATATTTCCTCTCCAGAAATGGGTC